CTCCTGCTGCTCTGACCCCCACCTCCTGCTGCTCTGACCCCCGCCTCCTGCTGCTCTGACCCCCACCTCCTGCTGCTCTGACCCCCACCTCCTGCTGCTCTGACCCCCACCTCCTGCTGCTCTGACCCCCACCTCCTGCTGCTCTGACCCCCACCTCCTGCTGCTCTGACCCCCACCTCCTGCTGCTCTGACCCCCACCTCCTGCTGCTCTGACCCCCACCTCCTGCTGCTCTGACCCCCACCTCCTGCTGCTCTGACCCCCGCCTCCTTCTGCTCTGACCCCCACCTCCTGCTGCTCTGACCCCCACCTCCTGCTGCTCTGACCCCCACCTCCTGCTGCTCTGACCCCCACCTCCTGCTGCTCTGACCCCCACCTCCTGCTGCTCTGACCCCCACCTCCTGCTGCTCTGACCCCCACCTCCTGCTGCTCTGACCCCCACCTCCTGCTGCTCTGACCCCCGCCTCCTGCTGCTCTGACCCCCACTTTCTGCTGCTCTGACCCCCACCTCCTGCTGCTCTGACCCCCACCTCCTGCTGCTCTGACCCCCGCCTCCTGCTGCTCTGACCCCCGCCTCCTGCTGCTCTGACCCCCACTTTCTGCTGCTCTGACCCCCACCTCCTGCTGCTCTGACCCCCACCTCCTGCTGCTCTGACCCCCACCTCCTGCTGCTCTGACCCCCACCTCCTGCTGCTCTGACCCCCACCTCCTGCTGCTCTGACCCCACCTCCTGCTGCTCTGACCCCCACCTCCTGCTGCTCTGACCCCCACCTCCTGCTGCTCTGACCCCCACCTCCTGCTGCTCTGACCCCCACCTCCTGCTGCTCTGACCCCCACCTCCTGCTGCTCTGACCCCCACCTCCTGCTGCTCTGACCCTCACCTCCTGCTGCTCCCACACGTACATTTGGACATGTGCAGTAGCGGAGAACAAACATAAACAACAATGGCGGCGGTCACACTAACTAGCTTTGTGGGCTTCGAGCACAGCACAGAGGATAATTCTACTCCTTCGTTCGTCCAAACGAGACCACGCGAAGCTCTAGGTTCAGTTTCCATTTTCACAGCTGCTGTTAAGGCAGAATTATGTTGATGCTTTCTGAGGGTCTGGCACAGGAAGTGAGTACACTGCAGAGAGGGGGGCTGGGCACGGGGCTGGGGGTCGTGTGAGTGTTGTAAAGTTTCTCTGCCCCCTACTGGCCGGGCGCTAGAACTACATCGTTTTTCAACCTCGTGAACGCAGAGAAATTTGCATTAGGAGCCTGGTCGTTTCTGTTAATAACCTGGAAACGTCTGCGCAGCGTCTCAGTATAAACATATAATTCATATGCACTGTAACAGAAATGTGTTACAGACTTATAACAACTAGCAAAGCAGCATTTTTTCTATAAAAGATAGTTTTTCTCTTGTTTCTATCTTTCTTAGTGATGCTATCCTGGCTAACATCAAGCTGCTTTCGGTTTTATAGCTAAGTTATGAAATAGCTATCTCACGCATAACAACATATTCATGCTGTTATCACTCCCAGTGTTTGTTTTTAAAATACTTACGGGTAGATCTGACGGAGATGAATCTGCTGCTGCCATCACTCGTACTAGTCACGGAGGACGATGCACGTTCATGTGGTGTGATGTAGGGACGGGGGCGAGCCTGGAAACTTTCTCAGGCGAGAAGAAACTGCCGGAAACGACCGAATTGCTTACTGCTGCTTTAATTAATAATTTATCAAATATTCATACTGTATATGACTCTGGAAAGCTCACCAAATCCACCAGCCACAGTGCTGGGCTGGATTTTAGGGGAATGTTCCAAAGTGAAGACCCTCGTGTTTGATTTATTCTGGTATTACAGACCTTCCTTAGTCATTCATCAACTTAATGGCTTATTGAATCCATACTCTAAAGCCCATTACTGCGATTAAAGATTTATTCAGACTCCGTTAGATCATTCATCCACACAATATTAAATTAGCCCTGATTTTCATGTCCTTATATTCTTATTCGATTTGCCTCAATATTTATTTTTGTCAATAGGTAAAGCACTATTGTGCTTTACCTACGTTTTTTGAGCTTTTAATCACATTGAAATATTGTAACATCGTTCTCTTTTCTGAAGCAGAGCTGGAGTTGTGTTTATCTGCACCCACACTAATATCAGGAACTCACCATGTTACTCTTACCACCGGTGTTTATATAAGCAAAAATAAAGCATAAACCATCAGCTTCTGTCCTTGTGAGAAATGCTTGGATCTTTTTTTTCTATTTTTAGGGGACTAAAAATCTATTATACTCTTTTGGCCATGTTACAATGATTTCCCCTGATCCCTTTCACGTTTCGAGCTGCTTTGTGTTCATGCATGTTTGAGTTATAGATGTATTGTTTGTTTTGGCTTGTGCTGTACTTCGGGCAGAGGTAGTCGGGCCACTCTTTGTTTGGTCCAGTCACAACAATCACAGATGGCACTGTGGACCATCTGTTCAAACTAAACACAGTGCTTTTCATTTCATCAGCATTTCTAAAGCTTGGTCTCTTTTTACACAGTAAGGAATTTATTGTGGAGATGGACGTCAGGATGTAATGGTTCGCATGACATCAAGCTCTTTCAAATCAAGAATTATACTTTTTGATTTTTCTATGCTTTTAATATCATTAAAGTAGTAATATGTAAGATTTTCATGTCAAGTCATCACTAACTAGCCCTAATATGTCATAAAGCATTAATAAACCATTCTCCTTTTGAATCTTTTTTAAAATAATAACAGTAGTTCAGCCAAGATATTTGATATGCAAAATTAGTTTTACAGCCCCTGAATCTTGTTATTGTTTTCATTTCGATGTCCCGCACTGCACCGTTTTACCAATCAAAGTCCGTGATCCAGGTTGTCAGAACTCACTGCGTCGAGCTAATCTAACTGGTAAGTAAAATGTGGACGCAAGACTAATGGTCCTAACGGTTATGATTTTCAAATCATTAATGACAAAACAAGGAATAAAACAAGGATTTCTATCAGGGCCTTTGTCAAAAAGGTGTTGGTTATAGATTTGTGGTTGACAAAAGTCTTTGTTCCCAGCTGCATTTGTCTGCATATCTGGCAACCTGAGTCAGGGAGAGTGGGAGAGGTTGCAGTACCATTTTTGGCCAGATTTTAACATTTTGCTCTTTCTCAAGATGCAGCAAAACACCGGTTAATTTGTGACGTTGCACCAATATGTGACATGGCATCGAGCTAGAGGAGCCCGACAAGAGCAGCTTTCTGCCATTGTCAGTGACTACTAGTTATCATGTCAACTTGGAGAAAATATATTTTGGGGTGTTAATATGTGACGACACTATCTGGCTTTCCCGAAGACGAAGGATGTGGCAAATGTGGCTTTCTGTTCACAGGGATGTGCAACAGAAATCCTTGACAAATCTGTTTGTCAGCAAGCAACACCAAAGACTGTTTCCAGAACTACTTCTGTGCTACTGACTCGCTGTAAACCGCTGTCAAAATCCATCCATCCATTTTCAACGGACCCCCATTATCCTCCACTTTTGTATCTGCCATAACTGTGATCTGGTCGTGCTTTTCTGCAACATAACAACTTACATCCTGTAACTGTTCTGCTAATCCACCTCTTATAGCCCTGTGCTGTTTACATCCTGCCAACTCCTGCACTTTATCAAGGATGATGCTCTAAATGCAGCTTTGTTGTTTTTGTGACAATGACAATACATTTTTGAATTTCTAATCTTCTTCCCCTTAATCCATGTCTGGTTTGGGGGGTACCAGTCAGAGATTCACCCAATTCACAGAGCACCGGACCCTCACTGATCCTCGGCAGGTGGTGAGGCCAGAGGAGGATGACTGCTCTGTCAGTGACGACACAGCCTTGATCTTTCAGCAGGGGCTTCAGGCAAAGTGAGTTTAAGTGTCTTGCCCAAGGACACAACCACAGCAGACATCAGTGGGGCTTTAGGGTGCGCATGTGACCGCAGCCTAAGAGAAGAAAGAGTCTTTATGTGCACACATGAGATTGGTGGATGCAGGAAAACCCATCCAGTGTGAATGGTTTCAATGCTTACATTGTCTTAGAGAAAACACTCCATAGAAAACACATAATGAACTATTGGGAGTGACCAACAGAAGAAAAAACATGATATCAGGCCTCTTTGCATTTGTGTTCTGAGTTCGATTCCTCCAGGCTGCTGCGTGTGGAGTTTACATGTTCTCCCCATGTCTGTGTGCTCTTGTCTTCCCAAACCACTAAAACATGAGTGAACAGATGGGGATCAGTGTGTTGAGTGCACTTTAGGTGAAGTGAAGGCGTATAAAGTATCTAAAGCAGCTCAGTGTAAGTTTTAACAAAGTGAAGGTTCAGGTTTCAGCTTGTGAAAGTAGGAGTTTTAGTACACTCCAAATAACCGCCTCATATAAAAAGTTTGTCATTCCTATTTCAGGTCGTAAAGTTTTTTGTTTTGCAAGAAAAATGTTTGCACACTTGAAAGCTGCAGAGTGCACTTGATGCTGTTGTGTTACTAAGAAACCAATTCACTTTATTATCTTACGTACAGGTTTCAAAGGAATCCCCCAAAGGAATCAAATACCTTGCCAAGGAATTCCTGTTATGAATATATTCTTGACTTAGAGCGCTTAGTACTACAGTTTTAATCATATGTGGTGTCATGGGTTAGAAATAACTTTTATGTCCTAAAAGACATAGCATAACTTGTTCTATAGAGCTAACAGAAGGTAACGCATACTTTACTGTCCAGGTAAGAAAATGTGTCCTTTGAATCCTTCATATTTCAAATTAAACACATGCAGCCAGCGAAAGTTCAATTTGGTAGACGTTAACCAAAATTACCCCCTCCAGGCCGGCTCGCATCCCCAGCCTATCGCTCTGCAGACGCCCCCTTCCAATCATCTGTACCGACTCGCAGCCGCATAAAAACGGAGAAAAATCCCACTACCGGCCTCCTGAAGCCTCGCAGTGTATGCTAGCTTAACGCGTCTGTACACCATGCAAGCTTCTACGACCGTCCGCGCGCCCGCGTCTCCCGACGACTCGGCGCCTGACTCCCCTTCCATCCTCCTCCACAACATCTCGCCTGTGGCCCCCAGCTCTCGTAAGAGCGTGCGTCTGGCTTCCAGGGACCCAGGGTCGGTGCGCGCCTACCTCGCAGCGCGGGGTGTCGTGCCCGGCCCCGACGCTACGTCTCTTCAGCTCCAGAGCCTCTTCGACCAGCTGTCAGCGGGCTCTACCTCGCCCCTCCGGGAATTGGTTCCCCTTCCCCGCAAACGTCAATCCAAGACAAAGCACACTCAGGCGAAGCGCGCCTGCCTCCCGCGGCCTCCTCTCGCGGATTCTGGGCCTTCCCCTGGATCCTCGGGCTCTTCTGCTGCGGCCTCCCGGGCTCCTCCACGTGCTCGTAGGCCCCGCTACGCTGGCGCACCTACGGCGGCCCCGGCGTCTTCTCGGGTCGTTCCTCCCGTGGCTGCCCCCCTGGCAGGTCCCGAGGACGCCCCCACTGCGGCCCAGGACCGCGCTCTTCTCTGTGCGCGCACGGATGCTATTCTGTCCGCTGTCTCCTCTCTACAGCGCAACATGGCTTCGGTGTCCACGCGGCTCCGTGCCGTCGAGCACCAAGCTCCCGCCGCCGTCCCGGCGGCTTTTCCTGCTGTTGTCCCGGTGCCCTCTCCTACGGTGGCGTTTCCCGTGGACTCTCACGAGCCCGGCTTCTCCCTCGGCACCGCTGTCTCCGCTCCAGCGTCTGGTAGGCCTCACATTCACGCATTTTCCAACGTGTCTCCGCGCCTCCGCTCCAAGATTCTTCTGGGCCGCTATATCAATCTGGTCTCCCTTATTCTCCCCTCTCCCGGGTGCGACCGACAGGTGGCCGCTTCGGACCTCATCACCGCGGTCGTGAAGACTGCGGATCCCCGGTTGTCTCGTGAGCTGAACATTGGGGAATTCCTCGTCGCCTTCGGGGTCTACCGCGACGTTATATGCTCCGTGTACCCCGAGCGGAGGCCTGAGCTGGATTCCTATCTAAGCCTGATGGGGGACCTGTCCCTCCGGTACGGAGGCAGCGTTTTTTATCGTTACCACAGAGCCTTCGCTGCCAAGGCCGCGGCCCTTATCACTCAGGCAAACTTCCGAGTGGACTGGGCGGCCCTGGACACCGAGGTGCTGCTCCTGTCCATCGGCGGCACCCCCGCTGTTTCCTGCTCCCGGTGCGGCGCTTCGGGACACACGTCCCCCCTCTGCCCGGGCATCCCCTTCGGACACGGTGGGGGCGAGACCAAACCTCTAGGGCTGACTTCCCGTGCGTTCGGGGCTGGCCCCCCCCAAGTATGTAATAAATTCAATATGAGCGCGTGTTCCTTTAATCCGTGCTCTTATCTCCATGTGTGCGGTGTGTGCAGGGAGGCCCACCCACGCTTTCTGTGTCCGCGGCGCGGCCTGCAAGGCCGCTCAGAGGGGCCTTCTTCCAGGCGCTGATCAGGGCCCACCTCTCGACCCCGGTCTCCGTGCACGGGCTCGCCCACGCGCTCGAGCTCCATCCCGACCGGGTTTTCGTTCAGTTCCTCCTGTCTGGCCTGGCCCACGGCTTTCTCGTGGGTGTCGAGGCCCTCCCCACGGCGTCTCTCGTGTCCCGCAACCTCCTCTCAGCTTCCCGTGAGCCCCAGGTCGTTACGCGGCTCCTGGCACGAGAGGTGTCCCTGGGCTACGTCATCGGCCCTTTCTCCAGGCCCCCCTTCACTCTGTTCCGTTCCAACCCGTTAGGCATCGCCACCCGTAAATACTCTGGGAAGAAGCGTCTTATTTTCGACCTCTCCTGTCCCCGCTCCGGGCCCACCCCGAGCATCAATAGTCTCATCCCTCTGGCTCCTTTCTCCCTGCAGTACGCTACCGTGGACCATGCGATCAGGCTTATAAAGACTTTCGGCCCCGGCTCCTGGCTTTCCAAGGCCGATATCACGGACGCGTTCAAGCTGCTGCCCATCCACCCCGACCACTGGCACCTGTTCGGAGTAAAGTGGCGTTCAGAGTTTTTCTTTGCCGTGCGCCTCACTTTTGGCTGCCGGAGTAGTCCCTCTTTATTTAATAATCTTGCGGAGGCGCTGTGCTGGATCCTGCTAAATTACGTACGGCTCCCCTCCGTCCTGCATCTCCTCGATGACTTTCTCGTGGTAGACCCACCCTCGGACGGCTCCGGGAGCTCTCTCCGCAAACTCAAGCTCGCTTTCTCCGCCCTGGGAGTCCCCCTCTCCGAGGAGAAGACCACAGGCCCCGCCACCGCTCTAGAGTTTCTCGGGATCCGCCTCGACACGCGCGCCATGGAGGCCTCCCTCCCGCTGGACAAACTCGAGCGCATCCGCGCTATCTCCCGGTCTGCTCTGTCATCCCTGTCACTTTCGAAGCGTGAGCTGCTCTCCCTCCTCGGGCATCTTAATTACGCCATCCGCATTATTCCTCAAGGTCGCTCCTTCATCTCCAGACTCCTCTCCCTCGCCGGCTCCGTCTCCTCCCTCAACGACGCGGTCCGCCTGGACGCGGGGTGCCGCTCCGACCTGGCGTTCTGGTCTCGCCTGCTGAGCCGCTGGAATGGCGTCTCCTTTTTCTACAGCGACGTCGTCCTATCCTCGGACGACCTGCGGCTCTTCACGGACGCAGCCCCGTCCGTGGGTTTTGGGGGATTCTTTCAGGACCAGTGGTTCGCCGGGCCCTGGCCCGACGCCTTCCCTCAAATCATCTCCTCCGCGCTCCACGAGATATATCCCGTGACCGTAGCCTGCGCGCTGTGGAGCCATACGTGGCAGAGGAAAAGGATTTCCGTGATGTGCGACAACCTCGACGTTGTCGAAATAATCAACAGAGGTCGTTCATCCTCTCCCCAAATCATGACTTTTCTTAGACGTATCACATGGCTCTCAGTCCTGAACAATTTTATTATCACTGCTCGTCACGTCCCTGGTCACCTTAATTGTCTCGCTGATTCTCTTTCTCGTTTCAAATTCCAGGAATTCCGACGCCTCTGCCCTTCTGCCAACCCATCGCCATGCCAGATCCCCTGCATGGAATCCCTCGCCCTGGACTAATCCCTCCGTCTCTTCACCTCCTCATCTGCATCCTACATGAAGAGGGGCCTCTCACCTTCCACACTGAAATCCTACAGCTTCGCATGGAAAGTCTACTCCAGCTTCTGTCACGCCCACTGCATTCCTCTCATTCCGCCCTCTGCTGTCACCGTCAGCGCCTTCATAGTTCACTGCGCGGATAACCTCCATTATAAAATCACATACATTCGCGCCCTACTCGCCGGGATTCAATTCCAGGCCCGCTGTCACAACCCCGCTTTCTCCTCTCTATTTTCCGATCCGTCAATCAAACTAGTCATCAAAGGCATTCACAACTGCACCCCGCATTCCTCGGACCACAGGCGCCCCATCACACTGTCCATCCTCCACCAGCTCTGCGCCGCACTCAGCTCCAGCCTGCTCTCAAAGTACGCCATCGCTCTCCTGTCCAGCGTCTTCCTCCTCGCTTTTTACGGCTTCCTACGCATAAGCGAATTCACTAACCCCCTCGCCACCTTTAATGCAGCCAAAGACATTGCCTTCTCCGACCTGTCTTACTACCCCGACTACTTCAACCTTCATCTCAAGCATTCCAAACACAAAGGCGCTTGCAATATAGTCATAGCCCGGTCTGACACTTCTCCCTGTCCCTACAGATCCATGATGTATTACACTCGCCTCCGCTCTCGGAAAGGAGATCTCAACGGACCGTTATTTCTCACCCCCGATCACCTCCCAATGACATCTAACTGGTTCAGAGCCCAACTAAAGTCCGTACTGCTGCTTTGTAAACTGTCTCCCCATCTCTACACAGCGCACTCCTTCCGAATAGGCGCTGCCACGCGCGCCGCGTCCCTGGGTCTCCCCATTCTGCCCTCCAGCAGCTGGGCCGCTGGTCATCATCGGCCCTCTCCTCATACATCAGGCCTGACACCTCGACCATTCTGACAGCCCAGCGGCTTTTGGCATCTCCATAAATCACTCACAAAACTTTCTGGTGGCGGCAGCAGCCGAGTATCCGCAAGTATTGATCACAGTAGATAGCGGTCACAGCATATAGCGATAGCGGTCACAGCATATAGCGATAGCGGTCACAGCATATAGCGATAGCGGTCACAGCATATAGCGATAGCGGTCACAGCATATAGCGATAGCGGTCACAGCATATAGCGATAGCGGTCACAGCATATAGTGATAGCGGTCACAGCATATAGCGATAGCGGTCACAGCATATAGCGATAGCGGTCACAGCATATAGCGATAGCGGTCACAGCATATAGCGATAGCGGTCACAGCATATAGCAAAAAATGGTTAGCAGCATTGCGCTGGCGGTCACAGCATAGCGATAGCGGTCACAGCATATAGCGATAGCGGTCACAGCATATAGCGATAGCGGTCACAGCATATAGCGATAGCGGTCACAGCATATAGCGATAGCGGTCACAGCATAGCGATAGCGGTCACAGCATAGCGATAGCGGTCACAGAATAGAGCAGTCACGACGTCTGTCCCCTCCAAACCAGGCTTCGAAAACTCCATCAACACGCAGCCTTTTTGGGGATTGTGCGCGCTCATCGCAGGAGCCTTTCCGATCTGAAGGCCGCACCGGGACCTAGGGCGCCAAACCTCCTTTCAATAAAATACTCAAAACTTCCTGTTTCTCGTCTCTCCAAATTGAAATGACGTTGCAAGGTCAGGTGGATTTATACTAGCCTGGCTCTGCCAGACCCTTGTAGTTCCGCCATGCTCCACCAGAGGCGTTTGGCTGAACCACATGGGTCTGGTATCGAGCCCATAGCGAACGCCTTCCCCAGATTATTTTTTAATCGACCAATCAGGATTGCCGGTGTTACGTGGGGTTTGCACTGCCTTCTCAAGCTTCTCTCATGCAGCAGCGAGAGGAATCCAAGATGGCGGACGTAAAGTCCGCAAATCTTTTTAAAAGAGTAAATACGATCGAATTAAGACACGGAGGTCACTTTTAATGCAATTTGAGGCGAGATGTTGATGGTTCTATGTTGATGGTTCTATGTTGATGGTTCTATGTTGATGGTTCTATGTTGATGGTTCTATGTTGATGGTTCTATGTTGATGGTTCTATGTTGATATATGTCTGTTTTAAGAGTCAAATGTTCCTGTAAAGTTTGGTTGAAGCACTGGTTCAGTGTTCCTGTTTACACACTATGCAGCAGGGTTGCCAGGTTTGGTGGTTCCCGCATATTTTTTTCCAAGAGACTTGTAGGTATTAAATGAACAGAAAGACAATAAACACAATCATGACAGCCCAAGTTGATTATATTACGTTTTTAGCCAAAAAATCATTCCGAGTGTTTTTTTTTGTGTGGGTTTTCTCGCGGATTTTGGGTTGGCAAATCTTGCTGGGATTTGGCAACCTATGGGAGCCGTGTGCTTCGATGTGAGTGGTTGAAAGCAGACTTCATTCAAGATAACGGACAAGTGGTCTATCCAATCACATACAAGGATTTTTTTTTTTACAAGGCCCTGCCTTCTGAAATCCAACCACTATGGCTCAGTACCAGACTCATGTGTGAAGTGCAGCGGACTACATGGGTCTGGCCAGAGTCAGGCTAGATTTATACATCATTTCCATAAAAATACTCAATTTAAAAGTATTATGATTTATTCCCACTTTGTCATTCACAACATTAGACGGACTGCAATACACTGACAGTGGGCCTCATGTATGAAACTTGTGTCCGGCCAAATCAGGGTGTAAATGATGCGTACGCAAAAAATTTACACTTTTCCGCATTTATCAATCTGGAGCGTACGGTACGCACACGTCAATAGGTGGTGTAAATGTGTACGCTCATTTCACCCTTTGTCACAAAACACGCATGAAATTCAAGATTTGGACAACAATAAACATGTTCCCTCTGGCAACATTATAAGCTGCGTTTTCATGAAGCATCGTGTTTCGGAATTTGAATTTTTTGCATCAGAAAAAGTCTAACACTCTGGAAACACCCAAACTTTGAATAAATCCCAGCTCATGATGAGGAGCCTCTTCTGTTTCTATGATTTTAAATCTGACTTCTGTGTGTATTATTTTGATCTGTATGTTTTTTAAATGTGAAGCGCTTTGTGATCCTGGACTGTGAAAGGCTCTAAATACACTTTACGCGACAGGGATGTGTGACCCAGCTATTGCTATTACGCACTGCTATTTGTATTCCTCACATCTGGTAAAGCAATGTATGTTTTAGATTTGTGTAAGCCTCACACAGACACACACCCCATAAACCCATGGACCGATAGACTATGGTATTGCTCACTCCAAATGTCTCACTGCCCTGTCCACCCGCTGCACACTCTTGGCAGTGCATCCACAGCAGGTGCCGTGAGAGACACGCCACATAACTCCTCACATTCTGTCATTCAGAAGTTTTGGCTCCAGAGTTTCTCTGTAAAATCTGGGCCGTAAACGCTCTCGCAAGTGTACAGCGCTTCAGTGCATTCACCTGACGCTGCAGACGCTTCATTGATGAGAGCCACCGCTGCACAATATGAATTCATTCATTCATTCTTTATTAAAGTCATTCATTTCTTTCATTCTTTATTAAATCACTTCTTACAAATCAGAGAGATTTTTCTAATTTATCTACACATTTTGTGCAAAATTTGTTCAAACGCAGCTGAATATATAGCGTCTATCTATATTTACAGAACCATGAACGAACAAACGGTGTTTTGACGCTTCCAAAACCGTCTTTTTGGCCGGCTTCCTGTGACCTGTCGCAAAAAACAGGGCGTGAAACAGGCGATTGTTGCATATTCCTAGGCGTGACTTTTCATAAAATACGTTCGCTATCAGTCCGCGGGATTTAATGAACACCTGGGCGCATCTACACGTTCATAAAATCCACGTTTGGATCTTGCGTAAATGGATTACACCCAAAACATACACCCTTTTCTGCGCACTTTTCAGACATGGGGCCCATTGTCAGTAGTTGTGTGAAAGCCCATTTACTATAAATTAACATGATTTTATATTTTCAAATTTCTGACAACAGGAAACCACATTCATGCTAATTTGTTGCCCTTTTAACACCTACGCATGGTTTGGAATCTTTGGTGGGTCGTTGTGGCTGAGGTTCTGTATTTTTTCGCGTCTCTACTCTGCCTGCCTCATTTTTCTAGGCAAAAAAGCCTTCTTATCCTGTAAATTTCTTATAGCAGCCTTACATGAACGCACGTTTGAGATCTCCACGGAATAGTTCAAAGATGTATGAACTTATATTTGACATTTTTCACAAAAGTTGACATCAGCGTTTTAAAATAGCGTGTATAACTGACCTGCATTCTTCCTTTGGAAGCTCTGTGGTGAAAAATGGAGGAAATGACCGTATCCTCTTCAGTCTGTTTGCACCTCCTTCTCGTCGGACCAAAGTCTCCGGAGATAACCCAGATCATTTAAAAAGGAATCGTTAAAAAATAACAAAACAAAAATGACCCTTGATAAATGTGTAACAGGCGTGATGTTTCTGTCCATTTTTCTCCAACAATGAAACTTGAGAAAAAATAAATCTGGTCTGTTTTCACATTTAATTGGTTGACTATATGAAAGTATCACTTTGG